ACACCCCACCTTGCCCCAGCAGCAGAGAAAGAAGGAGATGCATCCGCATTTCCTTCTACATCCAGAGAAGGATGGACCGCTGTCAGGAGGGGGAGCAAGTCTTGCTGGGCAGCCTGCCTTTCCCTGATGGCTCCAGAGGCAAGGCACTGTCCATCCAAGAAGTACTCCTCCTCACCGGGTCTTCAGTGCTCTACTCATCATCATAATACCACAGCTCATGGGAGACAGGGACCCCAAGTAGAGTACTGTACAGACACGAAAGAAATACGCCAAATTGCTTTGAGCAACCTGCTATAGCGGAAGGTGTCCCAACCCTCTGGAGCTGCTCACCGCAGCCAAGGAGCTTCTCTGCAGAAACTGGCCAGGAGAGGTGTATTCTTCCCTAGGTTGGACACTGGCTGGATGACCGAGCCCCAGGAGCAGTGGTGAATGGTACCACGTCTAGTTGGCAACTGGTCACTACCGGTGTCCCCCAGGGCTCGGTACCGTGGCCAGTGTTGCTTAATATCTTCCTTAGAATCACGGAACCAGATCACTGCTGATCTGGCTGAGGGGATAGGAAGCAGAGCAGGAAGCTCTGCAGAGGCATCTGGACCGGCTGGATCGATGGGCTGTGGCCAGTGGGATGAGGTTCATCAAGGCAAAGTGCCGGGTCCTGAACTTGGGAGCATTAGCGGGGCCAGGAGAATCAGGGCAGTGATCGTCCCCCTGTACTGGGCACTGGTGCGGCCACCCCTCCATCCAAGAAGTACTCCTCCTCACCGGGTCTTTAGTGCTCTACTCATCGTCATAATACCATAGGTGATAGGAGATAAAGACCCCAATTACTTTATAGATATACAACAAACATGCTAAATTGTTTTGAGCAACCTTCTCTGGTGGAAGGTGTTCCTGCCCATGGCAAGGGTTTTGAGCTAGATGATCTTTAAGGTTCCATCCAATCCAAATCATTTTATAATTCTAGGATCCAACTTAAGACCCTGTTCAGACATCTTTGAATACACTAAGCAAAGTTAATCCTGTAACGTGGATACAGGCAAGGAAATGCATGGGTCATCCAAAGTCCCCAATGGAGAATAGTGTTTTCTGCTCACCACCAGTACCCTGGTCCTGCAGAGCCTGCAGATGCCGCTAGGAGTGTGGCCATGCAACCTTGGTGAAAGCACAGTGACCTCCCCTCAGACTCGTCCCTTGCCCTACCTGCGCAGGAGCAGTTTGGGATGGTTCTTGTTCTCCAGGTTCTTCTCGATGAGGTCAGAGAGCAGCTGCTTTAGCACATCGGTGGCGTACTCCAGCTTTCCCTGCAGCCCAGTCATGATGAGCGAGGCCACGTTGCCGCGATCGCGCATAGAGAAGC